TCAGCAATAAAGGCTTATATTAATTGGCCAGCGCCGCCCAAAGACTCCCAAAATACCAGAGAATGTACAAGTGCATTGCCGGTATTTTTCTAAAGGAGCACCTACGTTATTTTCTTAAAGTTTAATGGTTCAACTAGTGCAGACGATAGTGAAGCTATTCCACTCGTTTATACATGAGCAAGATGCACTATTGTTAGGGTTTACTCTTTTTTATGGCTCGCATGAAAAACTTTTCCAATATATTAATACTTTGCATTCATTTTTGTGGTTGTCGCGTCTATTTATTCCATGTTGTCCGCAATAATGTTATTTATAGACCGACATGTTTATATTCAACGTCTTCACTCTCGGTTTCCTTATTGACAATGACAAATTGTGTTAGAATTAGTTCCGTAAAATAATATTTAACTCTTCAAAACTTGTTTGTTATGTTAAAGATGTAAAAATCAAGAGGAATACATAAAACATCGATAGACGGAAACGAAGAGGACGACAACGGTATAAAAGAGAGGATTGAAATGTTAGAGCAGTATATAATTATGGCGACTTTCAAGTAGCCTGGGAAAGCAACAGATTTAAACACGCAACGCAACGTTTGTGAACGCAAGATGAATTTTATTGTACTCAAAGTTGTTCTTTGCCTTTTCTAATGCGACCAATAAAGTGACAAAAAGTATAGTGCGAAAAATGTGGCCATGAACAAGAAGAAGTAAGAATTTAAGAAAACTAAATATTTAACCATAAGCAATGCCGCGGAGAACCTAACGGGTTACCGGGGCTCCGGCTCGAAGTGCAGGAATAGGAACGGGGTGATTTTTAGTCAGTAAGAGCCTGATACTCCTTCCCGCCTCACCCAGGCGGAAGAAGCAATTCGATGATTTTCCCCCCTTGAAAAAAAAAACCATAAGCAATCATATCTGTTTTTTTTAAATTACAGTAGAACAACAGTTTGATAGATCAACAAATTGTTGTAAGATCGAATGCAATAGTATAACACCTATTAATTTCAATTCTATCACATTTTGACAATTCTTCGACCGTTTAACTCCAGTAAATATATAAAAATAGCAAGATTACAAAATTGCAGAGAAAAACAGAAAGCGAGTTGTAAGTGAAACATTTTGCAGTGACTTTCTCGTTATCTAAGGTCATGTGCGATTGGTATGTAGTAGTTGTTTATTGCTAGTTTTGTATCCAATTTAATTGAGTCGCCGTCGATTTATAGGCTCACAATTACGGGCGTCATTCGACGTCGCCATTTTAATGGGCTACTGAGTAACTGACAGAAAATGGCGGAATTAAGTTCAAGTTTTATAATCCTTTATCGAAAACATAAAAAAGAATGCGTGTTAATGTTTCGAGTTTCAAAACGAACTCAGATAACAAAACTGTCCAAAAGTAATAATGCAACACTCACAAGCTAAGCATTGTTAAATCTTTTACTTTTTATGACTACTGCTTGTTATTACTGATAATAATAAAAAATGAACAATAAACGTAGTATACCAACAGTTTGCAAGCCTGTTAGACCCCTAGTTTAGTAGTCCTAAATTATACGCTTACTACTTATTGAAATAACAGTATTTTCGTTTTCCACTACGTTTAATGTTATCGCTTCCTTTCTAATCTTGCACCACGCTCTATCGACAATAACTCGCTGGCGGGCGCATTCTACAGCTAACAGTAAGGTGTTATCGTAAACACTGGCACGTCTGTCTCTGGACCCACGCCAGGCAGATTATAACCTGCATAGTCGACGATACCAGATCTCGTTTCTATTCGTTTTATTGTCCGCTCCTATCGCTTCTGCGGTTAGCGCGATCGTCGTATCCGATTTTATATCTCTAACAATATTATAGATGCGAAATTTATTTCGTGTCTCTGGAAAACTTTCGTCATTCAAAGACAGCTGGAATAGAGATGAAACAGATCGTAGGAAATGTATAAAAACGTTATTATGATACGTACTAAAAAAATATTGGAGAAGTCAGATGTAAGAAACCTGTAAATAGTTAAAGTAGATACCTTATACAACAAGGCTTCTGAAAAATGAAGAATGGAATTGTATAGTATAGGACTTGCCCCAAACTCTTCAAGTCCACTAAGTGACTAAAAAAGAAAACCACAAATAAGTACTTTATGCGGCAGAAAATGCATAACAAAAAGCCATTCAGACCCCCTCAAATGAAGACACATAACGAGGTAGTTCAAAGTAGCACAAGTATACGAAGTTCGGAGTGCTCAGACCTTATTATTCCATAGGAACCTAGCACTTGTGTATTTGGCCCAGATTTGTGTGGAGAGCGCGCAGGCGCGGGTTGCATAACTCGTAACGACCCAGGAAATACACGTTCAGCATCAACATCTAGGTTCATACAGGCTTTGGAAGGTCGCTGGCTATCGATCCAGCTTGAGATTGCGTAATACCGCGGATGGGACCAGCTATGTACCAACACTGGAATAGTATATTGATATCTGGAATACAAATAGCTTATAATTATGTGAAGGGCATTCAGAATTTGTTTGTTGAAGAGTTTCATAGACCTTAGAGGACTTTAAGTTACTGTTTCTGGATACTCTTAAGTCTTGAGAAAGGCAGACATATCTAACTTCCCCCTTCAACTTTTCGTTACTGAGTACTTAGGTTAATGTGAAGTGAGGACTATAATATCTAAATCCACAAAGTCTTTATTCCTTCCTTTTTGATTGTACAAATGGTGCAGTGGGTGGGCAGCTGGCTGCTGCGCTACGTGTCGCGGTTCGATTCCGGTTGTAAACGCAGCACCACCATAATAACACTCTGGAGAATACAATAATTCGGGGCCATATTAAAAAAAAACACACAACAACGACAGACTTCCACTGATCACGATATAGAGCGAACCACGACTGATTTATTAAAAAGAGTAACGAATGGAGTTTCTTGCTCGTTCTTCTCCAGTCGAATCTACATTTTGGAATGAGCACCTAGCTTTACCTAGCTTCACTGACGGACTCCCTGACAGACTATTATTTATTTTGTATTTGTTGACGTTTCAAAAGTACCAAATTTTGGTTTAATTGAAATAAATGCTTTGACTTTGACTTTATCTATCTAATTATTAATTTATTAACAAATATGTGAAATTATTCGTCAATCGAGCAATCCACATTTTATCCTATTCCGAATATTTCGATAAGATTCCAAAACTTTCATTATTCTCTCAAAATGCTCTGAATAGGAGCGGCAATAAATCGAGTTCCACTTTATGGGCTTGCGATAAATCACCGTCATTCATTAAAGAATGGTTTACATGAACGGAGTGAGCGACGTAAATTAGAATGAGTATTGTTTTACTGGTTTATTTAACGATTTGATAGAAAAAGATAGATTAAGTTCTTTTTCATCATGACGTTTAAATACTCAATGTTTCTATTGCAACATGAACCGAATCTAAATATATTAGATGGTAAAGAGTTTCCTAAAGATTCTTATAGGTAAACACATAGTAACTGCATGACATTTACTGAACGAACATAAAAACTGATATTTCTAGAAGGTTATTTTGAAGGGCGCAGTTCTACCTAATTGCAAATGCCACTTTAGGTAGGCTGTACCTACAGGTTTTATGCCACGAAAATCTTCATATAGGAATGAAGTCAATGTAAAATGTATGACAATTCGGATTGAAGTCTACCTGGAGCCAGGATTTAAAACTTTTGGGCGACTTAAGAAGCGAATCCTGGAGTTATCAGACTCAACAAACGCAAAAAAGAGAAGAATGGAAACCTAATCTACTTTTAAAAACAGTACCTATACTAAACAGAGGGGTTTTCTCTAAATTTATATCGCACATTTATTCTCCAACCGAACACCAGAACGTTGACTCAACTAAATCCTTAAATGAGGGTCTTATTACAAACTGCCGCATAATATCAGAACCTTTCATTCGTAGGCTGAAACGTAAAGTTTAAAGGTCACCAGAGCTGGAGTGGGACCTTACGTAACCTGACCTATATGCGAACCAACTGGGAATTAAGTTGGAAACAGTTGAGTCAGGTCGTTTTAGCCGCATTTACATTACTAAGAACAAAGTACTCTTATTAGGTACGCACTTATAGCTCCCGGGACATAGGATTCGTTTGGAGTGAGAATTCTAAACCATGAGTTATGAGTTATTCAACTTTGAAGCTGTTTTCCATTGCTATTACCATTATTAGTAGAGATGTTTTCAATCCTATCTTGAGCGATGTGGTCCAGAAGAGACCAAGCCCATTAAAGTAAAAAAATACATAGGTATTATTCTAATAGGTGAGTCAATTTAGCATTATTTTGATTATATTTAGATTTTGTGTTATAAATCGAATAATCTCTCGATTAAAGTTAAAGGCGAGATACAAACAAACTAATCCGTATTATCGAAGTTTTTTAGAATCTCAGGAAGTATAAAATATTGTAAATCGTAATATTACCTAATTTATTATGGTTTCCTAATGTATAGAATAAGCGAAGGTATTTTTATAGTTTCTGGCTAAAAAAACGAGAATATAAAAACAAATGGAGACTTGACAGTCAAGGCAAATAATTAAAGAGCACATGTGGCCGACATGGTACCAATCGTAATGCCATTTGTGTCGCGAGACAAATTAATAATGATCACATTATTATAATAGTGATTATTATGTCTAAGCATGTACTAAATCATACAAACGAAGATAATAAAGATAAAATAATTATTAAACTTAATTCAAAAGTCTTTAGTATTCTGAATTGAAATTATGCAAATGTTTATGATACTAAACTTGTAAATATTGTTTGTCACAAGATTATTCCAATCTGGACTAATACAGAATATGTTTAACTGAAATAAAACACAAAGCTAAAATGGCTTACGAATTACTAAACGAGACCTGATAGAAATATATAAAAGGCACAAGGCTGACTGTAAAACATTCATAAGTACCATGAAATATAAGCAAACTGCTTACTGATTCGTAATTAAAAAAATAAAAACACTCACATCAAGTAGTTGAACGCGATCGCTATGTACCACAGTGCGAATATGATGATTCCCGTCGTTTCGGCCATATTGCTGCCTGCTTGTGTTGCTATTGATCGTGTCCCACCGGAGTAACCGCCACCAGACTCGCCACTCGCACCAGAACTACTACCAGCAACACTTCTTATGCCACTGTATACGCTACCGGCAACGATGCTAATGCCACTATATATTCCCAAAGCAACGACGGTAAGGCTATGTAAGATACTTTCGGCAACGATGCTTATTCCACCAGGTATACCCGTAGTGAGAGATCCAACCCCGGTCGCAACGTTACTGTAATCTCTTGGGGTTACACCCGCTACAGTATTCATGCCGCTTGCAACAGCACCAGCAACGTTACTAACGCCGGTTGCAGTTAAACCAGCAATGCTACTAATGCCAGTTGCAGTTACACCAGCAACGCTACTAACACCGGTTGCAGTTATACCAGCAACGCTATTAATGCCAGTTGCTGTTAGACCAGCAACGCTACTAGCACCGCCTGCTATGCCACTTGCAGTTGTACCGGCAATATTAGATATACCAGTAGTGATGGAAGTAATTCCACTACCAACAGTGCTAAACCCTCTGGGAGCTCCAGCCGTCATAGTGCTAATACTACTTGCAGCTGCACCAGCAAAACTACTAACGCCAGTTGCAGTGACACCAGCAACGTTACTAAAACCGGTTGCAGTTACACCAGCAAAATTACTAACGCCAGTTGTAGTTACATCAGCAATGCTACTAAAACCAGTTGTAGTTACATCAAAAATGCTACTAAAACCAGTTGCAGTTACACCAGCAACCTTACTAAAACCAGTTGCAGTTACACCAGCAGCGTTACTAATGCCAGTTGCGGTTACACCAGCAACGCTACTAACGCCAGTTGCAGCTAAACCAGCAACACTACTTACGCCAGTTGCCGTTACACCAGCAACGCTGCTAATGCCGGTTGCAGTTACACCAGCAACCTTACTAATGCCAGTTGCAGTTACACCAGCAGCGTTACTAATGCCAGTTGCGGTTACACCAGCAACGCTACTAACGCCAGTTGCAGCTAAACCAGCAACGCTACTTACGCCAGTTGCAGTTAAACCAGCAGCGCTACTTACGCCAGTTGCCGTTACACCAGCAACGCTGCTAATGCCGGTTGCAGTTACACCAGCAACTTTACTAATGCCAGTTGCAGTTACACCAGCAGCGTTACTAATGCCAGTTGCGGTTACACCAGCAACGCTACTAACGCCAGTTGCAGTTAAACCAGCAACGCTTCTAATGCCGGTTGCAGTTACACTAGCAACGTTACTAGCACCGCCTGCTATGCCACTTGCTGCTGCATCAGCGATATTAGATATACCATTAGTAATAGAATCAATTCCACTACCAACAGTGCTAAACCCACTAGGAGCTCCACCCGTCATAGTGCTAATACTACTTGCAGCTACACCAGCAACGGCACTTACACCACCTGCCATGCTAGAAGCAACGAATTTTACTATCCTCATGACCGTGGTAATGCCGCTGAAGGCTCCACTAGCAAGATTTGTAGCGCCGCCAACGATACCACTAGTAACCGCGTCCGTACCAGTTGAGACGCTACCAGTAACGTTGCTGATACCTCCACCTGCTCTACTAGCGAGATTACCTACACCAAGGTTATAATCTCCAGAATAACTTTTAGTCCCATCAGAGGTAGAGGTAAAACCTGAAGTGACTCCACTACTGAAGCGATCAGAGACGCCTTTAGCGACACTGCCAATTCCCTCTCCGAAGACACTGGGACTGCTAAGTTTTCCTCCACTAAATGTTTCACCAATACTTGCCCTGAAGGTACCTGTATCCACACTTTGGCCTACTGTGGAAGTCTTTGTACTAAAACCTCCTAGAAATGTAGTGGTATCGGTGTTTTTGCCTCCTAACATAGCATTAGTACCGCCACCAAGGCCTCCTGATAAGGCACTAACATCGGAAGTTTTGCCTCCTGTGCTCATACTACCACCAAGACCGTTAATAGCACTGATATCAGTACTTGTACCTCCAAAAGCACTATTTAAACCAATGCTTCTGAAAAAGCCACTAGCATTGGCACTTTTCCCACCTGTGCTAATACTAGTGTCCCCACCAATGTTCCCTGCAAAGGTTCCAGTGGCTGCCCTTTTGCCACCTGTGAAATCACTGACGCCAGTACTTTTGCCCCATATGAAGACACTGTTATCGCTACTAAGGTTGCCAGGATCATTAATATTAACACTTTTAGATCCTTTGACAAAACTAGTACCGCTGCTTAGGCCTCCGGAAAATGCACCAGTAACAGTTTTGCCTCCTGTCAAGATATTGATATCAACATTTTTGTCCCCTTTGAAAATATTTGTAACGCCACCACGTGTGTAGGCACTGATGTTATCACTTTTGCCATCAGCAACGATACTATTACCACCACCAAGAGCTTTTGCAAAGGCTACACTCTCTGCAGTTTTGTCTCCCATCAGGGTACTGGTATCGCCGCCAAGACCACGTGTAAAAGCACTGACATTATCACTTTTGCTACCCGTAACGATACTAGTACCAGCACCAAGAGTTTTTGCAAAGGCTTCACTCTCTGCGGTTTTGCCTCCAGTCAGGGTACTAGTGTCGTCAACAAGACCACGTGTAAGGGCACTGACATCAGTAGTTTTGCCACCCGTAATGGAACTAGTACCTCCACTAAGATTTCTTGCAAAAGCGCCAGTGTTCGCACTCTTGGCATCTGTTAGGGCGCTAATGTCGCCACCAAGACCACGTTGGACGGCACTAGCATTACCACCTTTCCCACCTGTAACGATACTAGTACTACCACTAAGACCTTTTGCAAAGGCACCAGTCTCTGTACTCTTGCCCCTTGTCAGGGTATTGGTGTCAACACTAAAGTCATCTCTAAATGTCCTGATATCAGCACTTTTACCACCTGTAACGATACCAGTACTGGTGGCACCAAAACCTTCTGGATATGCATCAGTGTCTGCACTGCTCCCACCTACCAGGACACTGGTATTGCCACCAAGGTCACTGCTAAAGCCATTGACATAAGCACTTTTGCCACTTATAACGATATTAGTGCCTCCATCAAGACCTTTTGTCAAGGCTTCAGTCTTTGCAGCTTTGCTTCCTGTCAGGGTACTGGTGTCGCCATCAAGATGACGTGTAAAGGCACTGACATCAGCACTTTTGCCACCCGTAACGATACCAGTACCACCTCCAAGAGATTTTGCAAAGGTTCCACTATCTGGAGTTTTATCTTCGGTCAGGTTGGTAGTGTCGCCGCCAAGACTAGTTGTAAAGGCACTGACATCACCACTTTTGTTGTCCGTAACGATACTCGTACCTCCACCAAGACCCCGTGACAAGACCAAAACGTTTCCATTTTTACTACCAGCCAGGGCAGTGGTGTCACCACGAAGGCCACGCGTAAAGGCATCAGTGTCAACACTCTTGCTCTCTATGACGACACTAGTACCGCCACTGGAGCCAACTACAAAGGCACTGGTGTCAGTACTAAAATCCCCTGCAATAGTGCTTTTGTTTCCTTTGAAGGTACCTGTACCGCCATTACGAACTCCTGCAAATGCACTAGAATCTACACCTTTGTTTTTATTGGCACCATTAAGGCCTGGAGGCAATGTATTAGTATCTGTATTTGTAGTTCCTGATAACGCAAGAGTATTATCACCCACGCCTCTTGAATGGGGAGTGACACTTCTGGTAACTTCACCACTGTAAGCATTAGAACTGCTAGCAACAGTACCTCCTGTTAAAGCATCGACACTGCTTTTAGTTTCGGTGCCTGTAGTGAATCCGATGGTACTGCCACCTTTATGCCTTGTTAAGGCAGTAGTATTGCCACTAATGTTCACTGGTTGCCTATTTGTACTGCCACTTTGAGGTTCTACGTAGGAAGTATTTCCATCACTACCGGCTCCTGTTAAGGCGTTAGTGTCACTGCTGATGTGTTCTGTGAAGCCTCTAGTATTGTTATTATCAAAAGTTATACCGCTGATAGTACTGGGAGTTGCGGTGACGTTACCGTAAGTATCTTTAGCACCAAAAGCGCGACCGTCGCTACTGCTTCTATTACCCCTGGTATAATTGCTATTGCGATCTCGTTTTTTAACATCCGTCGCAAATATAGTGGTGTTTGACTTATTCAATATTTTAAAAACTTTGTGTTTTTTTGAGTTTTCCTCCTCTTCGTCGTCGTAATCGTCTGGAGCGAAGATGGAACGTCTGAAATATATTTATTTTGATTAAACATTGACCTATTACTTTTCTATGAATTTCGTACGAGGTATGATAGTGTGTTGTAACGTCTTAATACTATTATACATCGAATAGATACTTATTTCTTAAATATCTGCTAAGAAAAATGTGTATACCTATTAACAAACTTATTTCTTTCGTAAATATAGTAATCAAAAGGTATCTATTGGAAAGTGGATATAATTAGTGTTAGACTGAGGAAACTACGCAATTATATGCAATAACTACAAGTGTTATTAAGTATCATACCTACGTAAATAAGCGGGTGACTCTTTTTCCGGTGGGAAAATTGTAGTGAGGATGAGTTCGAGTGGCTTCAGTACAATGTACAACACGTATATCCAGTCCATAGACTTTCCTGGGCCGTACGTACGGGTGTCATACCATTCAAAATAATTACCTTTACGGATATTTGGTAAAGACTGGGAGTACACTGACGAACATTTTGACTATTATTTTGTGTGCATGTTATTAATTAGCAATCTGACAGGCTGAGTTTGTAATGATGATTTGTTGATAGATTTTTGACTGAAGGTTTGTTAATTTTTTTAGAGGAAATAATGGCATTTGTATTATCTATAGTTTGTTTGAGTATGTTCTTGAATGAGATTTTAATATATTTATGTACTTACACCTTATTAGTATAAGTCTACTTTCAGGACTCCTAATTATTCTCAGATAAAATTTTCAGATTAAAACAAGATATAATAAGTAGGTATACTATTTTTAGGAAGGTAGGAAGGTGATGATAGATGGCAATTATGTTACATTCGCGTAAGTCATCATTTTCCATCAGTTTTCCCCATTCCCTAAACTGATTATAAACTTTTAAGTGTATTTTTATAAATTTATTAAGCTTAGTCCTAATATAGAATATACACTTGCACTGATGATTCACTGCATTCTTAACGCGAACAAACTATAGTCTCTATGGCGTGAGCCCCTTTAAATTTTCAGTGACCTATTTAACCCTGACAAACTGCAATATCCAAGGGCTTGCCAAGACCTTGATTTCATCATCATCAGCATCATTAACAGGGTTATGATAATGGTGACGATTATAGGTAATTAGTACAGTACCTCTTCAAAGCAGAAGGCATTTGTTCGGCAGTGGACGGATTGCAGTTGACAAATATAATTCTGATACTCTAAAAACTAAAATAAAATAATTACTTACGGCTCAGACGATGTCTCTTGAATGGAATAAATAATGACTTAAGAATCAATTTGGCTATGGCGAGTAGGCTAGTATGTCAAGCAAAAACAGTTCATATTTAATACTACTTAATAGTGAGGCCTTTTTTTGAGATGGGAAATTCATACAATGGCTTCTCCCGCTCGGGTGAGGCAAGAGGGAGTGTCAGACTCTTACTGACTAAAAACCAACCCGTTTCTACTCCTGCACTTCGAGCCGGAGCCCCGGCAAGTCCTCCGCGGCTCCGTATCATTATCAGCCTTATTGGGCCATCTGTGGTGGTCTGGTGGCTCCTTGAGGCGGTCGCGGAACGCGACGCACCGTACGCTCGGGAACAGTGGAGACTTGGATTTATATCTGATGAAAACTGTAGGTACCACACCTTTTAGAGCTATGCTGACAGAAGTAGAAAATTGGAGGGAAGTGGCCTCGTTATGTGAGATATCTCAAAAGGAGGCTGGTGAGCGGGTTTGCGAGAGGGCCGATCCGAATGTAGAAGGCGTCGACGAGGCAACCGCATTGACGCCTAATATGCTGAATCTCGCCTCCACAAAATTCAGGTGGAACTTTGGTCAAACAACTGCTTTTTATCAGCATTGGACGGACATTAGCTGCTGAAGATTATAAATAAAAAAAGTAATTTTATACAAAATGATGTAGAAAGAGAAACAAAATATGTTTAAACAATATTTATTATAATTTCAATATAACAATAAAATACGAATAACAACTGCTAAACTTTTTACAAAAAGAAGGCACTGATCTGTACATATACTATTATAAAATAATTATATAACGACTTATAATACACTTGAGAGCAAAAGACCGGAGCCACTAGCGCTTATTCATTTTCATTTCTTGATAAATATTTTCTGATAAGAGTGTTTAATAATTGGTTACGTATGTCCTACAATTCCCTTATAGAAACCCAGTTACTCACCTCCTATTACAAGGGACTCATAACATAAATAGTGAAAAGTTGGTGTTACATTGTACAGTGGTATAATGTGCACCTCTGCCTACCCCTTCGGGGATAAAGGCGTGATATTATGTTAAACCCAGTTAAAAAACCGACTTCTATCCCCTAATCTTTTAAAATCGGTTGATTAATAATAATATACTAAAACTTTCTCCTAGGTGTAACAATTCTTTTGGAAACCGTAACAAAATCGGTTCAGTCAATCACGAGATATACACATACAGGTGAAACTGACAACCTCCTTTGTTTAAAGTTGGTTAATAAAAGGCAATTTAGTTACCTTTAACATGAGAGCATTTTGTTTTTATAATAACTATCGTGAGACACACTAAATTAACTAAAATCGCGGGTTACTCACGTAAGCAGTGTGTGACGCCAGCCAGTGAGCTGCGCGACGTCGCCGCGACCGCGCACACTGCTCTTGAGGAAGAACCCCTCTGTGGTTCGAAACTAGTAGAGCTTTTCTCGGTATATTCACGTAAGTAACCCGCGATTTTAGTTAATTTATGAGAGCATTTTGTTGTAAAAGGGATATTTTTTTAAATATTATAAAGGGTTCAATAATGTCAAACAAAAACGCTAGTCGTTAATTTGCTTCCAAGTATATTTACTATTTATCTACAAAACTAATCTTCACTTGTTTGTCTGTCCGTTTGTTTGAGCAAACTTTGCATTTTCAAGTGTGTTACTTACTAGTAATAAAGCCTATTACGTTATGGGCGGAGTTATGGATATCGGAAACTAGATTTTATGCTGATTGTAATAAGAATTAAAGCTGGAATTATGATTGTAAAGTTGAGTTTTGTAGTTAATGTGAAACTGTGTTATCCTTTTTAAGGAATAAGTGAAGTGGAATTATGTTTTATTTATATCGACATTTAATATTAAGCATTTTCCATTTATCTACTTTTAATCTAGTTTTTAAATTAGTATATTCAGAAGACTCGGTAAATGGGTCTAATATAACCTACTTACTAAATTCAAAAGTTTTTAACCAAAAAATAAAAAATGGAAGGCTACCTTATTTGGCCACCAGGAATATTAGACAGACACAGATAAGTAAATGAATTTGGATAAAATATGCCCTGAACTATAATTTAATGTTTATTAAACATAAATAAACATTACATAGATTTCTATATGACAAGCTAGGCTCAGCCCACCCTATATACAAAATAATATTTAAAAGATAAACCCATCTAAATTAAACAATATAATAAATCAATAACATAGTATAGACAGCCATATTATAGTAAAAATAAACTAAAACTAATATTCAGTTTTTAATATCACTATAGTTATAGAAAGTGAAATCAAGTTCCAATGCTCAGAAGTTAAGAGATTTTTTTTTCTAAAATTGGTTGCAACCACACAGGCCGATCGCCTGACGGTAAACTATCAACGTCCATGGATGACGTAAGTACTAGACTACTCATAAGTGTGGTGCCCTTTAAGATAGCACTCTTTTCTTAAAAGTTTTAACTTTTGAAGGTGTCCAAATTGAGTCTAAATAAATTATTAACTCGTCGAGTACCGGTTTTGTAGACACAATTATAGAACAATAGGTTGCGGTCACCGGTGACCGCTTGGTGTTTGACAGTTTAATAACATTTGTTTGGCAGTATATCAGACACAATACGAAGCATCTTGTCATTGTGTCTTGTTTGAAATCGGCATTCAGGTTCAGGCACACCACGGGTCAAGGTTGCAAGTATAGTTGATAATTTGGCACAAATTTATTATGTACAGTAAAATGGGGTAAATAGGATTTGAGCGATAGAAGAGGGTGAATCGATACTATGAAGAATTTCCTTATATCTCACCCCTATTTGGGCCCGTTATTCTGTTCCTATTCACGTCTCGATCCCTATTCACCCCATTTTACTACGTATGTAATATAGCATTTTAAAACAACCTACCTGATCTATTTCAATTAGTGATGAATCTATTTCAATTTGTGAAATGGTTTAACAAACCAATTGAAAAGAAATCTGTATATAAATGGAACTTGACACTCCACTGTCTAATTCGTGTTTGGTATCATTTAACAAGCGGTGACGGTGAAACCTTTCTCCAGTTTCTCGACATACTGCTTGCGAGCGTCCATGTTGTCAGCAGGACGGTTGTACGGCAGCCACACCGGCTCGCCGATGAAGAATCGCTTCGCCTTTATGAAGTTCTGGAATTTTATGTTAGAGAATATTTTAAAATGGAATATTGTTGTTTGACATTTTATGTAGTCTTCGATTATAATGCTTATTTAACTAGAAATTAAAATTCTAATAAGAAATTATTATATAGAATTCGTTGGGGTTAGTGGCCGCATATGCGACGCTGACTGCCGAGGAAGAAGCCTACAGTTCGGACAGGGTAAAGCACCATGATGTAATTTCCGGTTTATCGAAAATTCTCATAATACTACGGATTCTGGAATTGTGTGTTCGGTTCAATGTAACACATATTAGGAAAAGTTCCTTATTGCGATTGGTTTAAAATATGCAATACTAACATTAGTATCGAGTGTGAACCGATGGTAGATGCCGCTGGGGATGACGATCATGTCGCCCGCGGTGACGGCGATGCGGATCCATTGGTCCTGGCCGTCGCGCACGTCGAAGTATCCAGAACCAGCCAGCACAAACCTGGAACATTATAATTAATAATATCAATTTTTAATTTATTTAGATAACTATTTAGATCTAAGTGCTTTGTATTTTTGAAATTAGTTATTTCAAAATAATTCGACTGCACGGTTGGCGCGGTGGTTGGGCACTAGCTGTCGAGCAACGTGTCGCGGGTTTAATTCCCGCACGGAACAACTCTTTTTGCGATCCACAGGTTGTTGTTCCGTGTCTGGGTGTCATGTGTATGTGAAATTGTATGTTTGTAAACGCACCCAAGATAGAAGAGAAAATCGTTGGATCTAATAATATGATGAAAAGTGGGTGTAACATTGTAGATGTGCACCTCTGCCTACCCCATTAGGTCTTATAAGGTGTAATGTTAATGTTATATAGATTGCACTTTGCAGTAATAGCAACTTTAAATTTCACTTGCTCAATAATACAGCGCTTTAAAAGAACGCTCCTAAAACGCTGACAAAAAGAAAATGTTTTTACAATTTTAATCCCTTCTGTTTTTGTGGTATTCATGCGACATCAGCCTTGAGCATTTGATTACAACTACTATTACATAAAAGAAACATTTAATTCCTTACGTCTACGAATATAAAACTTGTTTTTTTTTTTTAACGTTGCCCCACACTAGGATTTTCTCCTGTGTCGTGGGTGCGTTTACAAACATACAAGTTCACATACACATGACACCCAGACACGGAACAACGATCTGTGGATCACACGAAGAATTGTTCCGTGCGGGAATCCAACCCGCGCGACACGTTGCGCGGCAGCCAGTTGCCCAACCGTGCAGTCTTTTTACCAAAATGTCTCCATTTTTCGGATGTGTTACGTATCGGTGCCGACAAATGTAGCTGCGAATCGCTACATCATCAATCACCCCACTAGATTTAACCTCAATAGGTTTTATTGAAAACTTTCTTACGAAATAATTATAAGATATGAAAGTAGTGTTGTTCTAACGTCGATCGCATTCGCTCTTAGGTTAGTTAGATTTTAGGAGTTATCATGTAATTTTAATTATAATAAACTTAGTAAAATGATTAACACGTTAACAGCCACATAGGTGACCTACGTTTGCAGAGGATGTGCCTCCAACAGTTTTCTGTCGGCAGTCAAAGGCTTAAAGTTTCCATTTGCACCCTCTGTCGGTAGCAGAAACATAACTAGTGTTTCGTTTACACCCGGTATTATGTAGAAAAATATGTATTTTTATTATTGTACCATACTTTCAAGTTTTACCTCAAATAATATTACTTTAGCATATCAATTAAGGACATGTAGTTTACCTAATCTCCTCATCAGTATGCAGGTGCTCAGTGAAGAATGACTTGATTTTCTCCTCGTAGTTGGGCAGACACTCCTTGGAGCAGGTCATCTCATCCTCGTAGGTGTACCCTCGCTCCTGCTTCAGCTTGTCCAGCACTCCATCTGTTGTGTACGTGTCCACATTCAGCTGTAATTATTTGAAATGGGCCGATTATAACTTTGTTCGACTAGTCGACATATGTAAGTAATATAGGTAAAAATCTTTACAACATTATAAAATGAAGCATTCTTTTGCTTATATGTTTTAATGTCATAAACTCAAAAACTATCAGGTAAATTTTTGTATGAGATTCTCTAATTGATAGACCTAAGAAATTACTTATCTTATTTCCAACTAGCTTCCGCTAGCTAGGATTTACCCACTTTCCCATGGGATAAAAAGTAGCTGTGTTGTTCCAGAAAAAAACTATCCCTATTCCAAACTTCATCCCAATTCCTTCAGCTGGTTTGACGTGTTTGTGTAACAAACAAACAAACACAAACTTACAAACCTTCCCATTTTTTATATTCTTGATTAGTAATATTACTGGTAAGTCAGATACTGAATAATGTGTGGTCTGTTTTGTCCACTACCACATAATGTACAATTTCATTAATACAAAAGAGTTACCAAGAGTCAGTTTGTTCAATATGTATGTTGATGCATTAACATCATCTTTTCTAATTCTAACAGTCTTCAATAAGCATGAAACTGAATTACACACTTTAAACATCATTTGATTTCATGTTCTTGAGTAATAAGTTACATCAGTTATCAAATATTATCTTAATTACCCATATAATGACCCTTACATTGCATTTATACAGTACAATAGTGTTTGGTAATACCTAATATTAACTTTTTAAGATGAATGATTGGCATTTTTTAACGTATAACATTGATAAATGGTGTTATCTGTAAAACGTCTTCATTACATGAGAAAAAAATTGATAACAAGCTATTAAATTAAGCCCAAGATCTACGCAAAAAGAAACTTACTTTAAAATATTCAACGCCGGTTTTCTTGTAAAGATCTTCGAGGGAAATGAATTCTGGCGGGTTCTTATGATGTTCCAGGCGCTGATCAGTTTTCTCTTCATCCATGTACCACGCTTGCACCATTTTCAAAGCTTATTTATTAATTTAATAATAAATAATCACAGCACAAGCGATTAACGCGACTTGTTATTGCCAAATGACATTGACATTATTGAATTGACAATGACATTCCGGTAAATGACGGCAACAGAAATTGGCAACATTTTTTTTGATATAGGCAAGCAATAGTGTTGAGCGATCTGAGTTTAAAGATTGTCGATACTATGTATTATTACTAGACGAGTACGAGTCTGACTACACTATGACTGTATAGTAAATTGCACCTACCGCTTTAACTTTCTGCACCACCCGATCCGCCAATTTCGCTATATGTGCAATAAAGTTTAATAAATAAATAAATAAATTGAGAACTATGGATGACTATGGCACCTGCCGAAATAATGTAAGTATTACACGTAAAAATGGCAGGCGGAGACTCGCCAACTCACCGACCGGGCCCCGGGAGTGGTATATGGAATATATGGAATAGAAACAGAGGGACAACGGAAATGTGAGTGACTGAAAGGTTAAGAAACTACCACTGCTTTCTACTCAGATCATCTGCTTCAGCTGAAGCTTCCTGCATCCCTGGCCCACTCGCGACTTACGAATAGTTTCTTACCCTCCGAGCAATCCTGCGAGAGCAGTGAACCCACTGCTCTCGCGACTCCACTCTGGACGGCCAAAGAAGGCAAGCCAGAGGGGGGAGACCTGCAAATATGGCAAGATGTAGAATAAGGAACAGTGACTTCTCTCTGGAGCACTCGGGATGATGGTAGCCCGCGGGGTCGCTAATGCCCGTCACCTTGCTCTGCGGGCTTTTTATTATTAGTATTCCGGTAATTCTAGATTAAAATCTATATCTCTACGGTCTGTACAAAATTTCATTATCATTCATTCAGAAAACGTTATATCAACCTCACAAACTCACATTTCATTTTATAATTACAATTCACAGACGTATTAAGAGTAGATAATATGATCTATTACGATGATATATCTTCGTCCTTACTTTTAATTTAATGTTTAGATATTTTTTGATGAGCATGCCTTTTTGTAGTTCGATCAACATTATGACTGATCGACGATAAAAAAATCGATTTATTATTAAATAATGAAGAGGAAATGATATGCGCAACAAATTATATCAGGTTTTGAACCTGGACCCTCATGTGTGAGGAACGGGCGCATTAACTCCCAGGCCACCACGATTATAGATGAGATACACACTACTTGCATGTTTTAAAGTTGTGTACGACGACGCAATAAAACACATTATTCCAAGTAAAAATATATTTAATGATACTAAATTATTACTATAATTATTTTGGCTTATAAACCAATTACACATTATTGTAAACTACATAAATTGGGGGTTCTTAAGTTTCCTTCTACTGACAAAAATCTCCTAGCACCTTGTACTGGGAACTTTTACATTTAAAACGAAACATTTTATCTATGGCAACTATAATAAGTACAGGTTACTGTGGGGTAGTTTCAAAAACTATTAAAATATTTTTCTCACAACTCATCGGTATTAATTAAAAAATTAAAGTACATTTATGTTATTCTTACAAAGAAAAAGATGGTAGTTTCGTTATTCACATTTTTACGTAAACTAACATACATTTTTATTACCACTTGCCTCTAATACTTGATTCTACACGAATTAAGCTCAACTTTCTCGATTTTTTATTAAGTATTCAAAAACATCGATATTGCCAGACTAAACAATGTTACATGCTTAAATATTTCACACCATGTTAATGATTACACATACGAGTTACTATTATTCACAGATAACATTTTGATATGACTGACAAAATGACAAACAAATATACTAATGAATATAGACTTTTTGAAAAATTTAAAAATGTTTACAGAAAACATAATCTCAATCAATGGACGGATCTAGAATCACAATAAAAATATACATTAAATAAACATTAAATTATAATATTAGAAAACGTGTCTCGTGTCAATAATCACTAGGTAATTAATTAGTCAGAAACTCACAATAAAAAAATGAATTAATAAAGATAAATATTTATAAGTATGGCTGACATGTTTATATAAATTTGAAAAGAATGGGATGCATTTAAATACAAAGGTACGGTGTTTATATACCTTATATAGTAATAAAAATTAAATTGGGAACATTAAAGCTATCACACACATAGATATTTCACGCTTATTCAAAAATGATATATTGAGATCACATCCTTATGTCTAAAGCTTCCCATTCATCCCAAGACAACATCACCATATCTCGGTTCCACTAGCATGTTCATTTTATTCAATTGTCTTAGCATGATTGGGGCTTATGAACTATGTTACATGCATATTGATGGTGGAATTTTATTTGGAAAAATGTTAAAGAATAGTAATCTTCAATCTTACAACCTATAAGTTTAGTACGAAACACTGTTTTAGGAGTACTCCTCATAATAATTACATTTATAAAAACAAACTGTAGAATCAATTTACAGTGATTTTATTATAGTTTTAGTATTATAATGGGAAGTGACCTAATACAGTGTTTTGTTTAAACTTCACACAAAGGGAATATTACAAAAATATCAAATTTACACGTAGTTACATGTACAATCTACTGGGACAAGATGTACTACGGTGTCACAAGACGCGAACAAAAAATATCGCGACAAGAATACTACAATATTCCCTGCGACATTTTTGTCGCAGCTTCTGTACCATTCTTTATGCAGAGGTGTTTAACATTTGTTGTATTTTTGTAGGTAAGTGTTATTTTTATGTTACAATGCGTTCAAAACTATGAGAAAATACTTTTCAAATGACCAATAATGACGAAACATTTGAAAATTAGAAAATATTTTAGGAACCTGGTTGTGCAGGCATACAAAAACATACAAATATTAAACACATTTGCACATACTGCACCTAAACGAAAAAAACTAATGAAAATTATCACAACAATTATTATGTATTTACAATTTTACGACAAAACGATATATTATTAAAATCTAATATAAATTAAAAACTACGCGTAGGTATGTATTTATTAAAAATATTAATATTACTCTATCTTAATTAATTAAGATTGCATCGTATTATATTAATTAAAATTTACGTTTAATAAAATGTAGAAAAATGTCGTCATTAATTTTATAGTCCATATTTTTTAGTTAGGCATCCACAGTTCATAATGACGGGATAGGAATTGTCATAAAAAATATATTAAATTTCTCACATGAGTAAGATAAATTAAAATCATCCCCTAAATTTGTTCACACAAAAGTAGTCTCTAAACATTGGAAATAAGGTCTATAATGTAGTTAGTGGAGAGCGGTCACCGGTGACCGCTTGGGGATATATGGCTTGCTCAAGAACGAATCTAGATTTTAGTCAGATTTCTTAGAAACCTGAACTCTAAATCTTGTTGTAACAACTGTCCTTGATTTTAAGAGGGCTGCTTTGTTGAAAATACTATTCTGACTATTGATTGCTATATATTACGGACGAATTAAAATTAAAAGAAATTGGAGCTAAAATATAAAATAAAACATCTTCCCTTTTCTGTCAAACAGAAGATGATGAGTAGAGACGAGAAAATATCTCTGGATATAATTGCTATCTAAATATGCTTTAAAATACTATCATTATGAACTGGTGATATTACAGCTTTGGTCGAATTTAAATAATGTCAAGCCATGTAAAGATTTCTTTAATTAACTTTGCCACTACAAGGGATTTCCCATAAATCATAGATTCGGTGACAGACATATTTTTTTCTTATCTATAGAGTTCAAAGAGAGTATACAAAGCATTTGTCCTTATCAAGTCGGGGTTTTCATTCAAGTATAATGAATAAATTCATTTCTAGGCCTATTTTGAGGTTTCGCAAAACTTCTGTAAATAAAAATATTTTTATTTAAAAATGTCTCCGAAATCCATGTCATTACACATAGTTCATAAGAGTTTAAAACTCTCAAATGTTTGAATTAAAATCATAATAAAAAAAAAAAAACATTACAAATCATTAAAATAATCACAGAAGAATTTGAATATCGAATTATGTGATCAACTGTCATGCAGTCATGTCACATGAGTTCTTAATTTAAAAAATCTAATCACACAGTATCAAAGTTGACATTCAGATTTGTTTTATCTAATCTGTCATGAGTTTAGATGCATGTTAGATTGTAGATGCGAATCACGTCAATTCCTTAGATATCTTTGACAAAACATAGCTGTATTAAAATTGCTTATGACGTCATAATGTCCTTGGTATATTCATGGTCATCTTCAATTCCCAGTCTGACAGTTATGGTAGAAACTAGTTTGGTCCGTCATCTTGTGTAAGTGACGTCATGACGAGTGACGTGATCAGAGTTTGGTGTGCTTGACGGTGTCCGTCCAGTAGTTCTGTATGGTCATCGCCTCCAGAGAGTTGAGGAAGGAGTCGTTGTCCAAGCTGTACATCTCTTCGGAGTTGTCCTGGAAAAAACACGAAGTTATGTTAGAAAAATAATGAATTGTTCTAAGGTGGAGAGGTGGAATTTCAAAAATTACAAAATGTTACAGTGATTACAGTATTTGGTTAGAGACTAGATCGATAGTTAAAAAAAGTGAAAAGTACTTAGTGATACTTACTCTTATCGTACTGTCATCCAAGTAGCCGCTCGAATCAGGGTTCGAGCACTTGTCATTCAGGGTCTGCGGCTTGTTCAGGTACCTCCGACGGTACAGCACGAACGCCGTGCTCCCAGCCAGAGCCGCCAAAACTAGCGCAGCAAACGATATCCCGGCTATAGCTCCCGTATCCATTCCTCCATCACTTTGGTCTATCACCCTTCTAGAAGATTCGACGTTCGGTGGTATCCGAGTCTGTAGGAAAGTAGTCTCTAATGACAGTGGCTTCTCTGTCACGATTCTACTCTCCGCCACATTTCCACCTCCATCTTTCACGAAGTCTGGTCTAGTCAGATTCCTCTTTTTAGACGCAAACGTCGCGTTTTGCGTTTCCGTCAAATTCGTGAACGGGGCTACCGTTGCATTACTTGCGCTTGCGTTTGTTGTCTGTGTATTGTTTGTTGACATGTCAGTGATGTTGACCACTGTCCACTGTATAGCTGGATGTGGCACTTCTTCTGTTTTATTGGTTTCTGTTGTGTTTGTTATTGGTATTTCTGGTGGTTTGTCCGTATGATTGTCTGTTATGTTGGAGGTCTGTGTAGTGACTTGGGTTTTCGTGTAGTACATGGCTCGACTCTGTCGCTCGGAGAGTCGTCGGTCCAGCTCGGCTTCAGCGCTGATGTGTTGGAGCTCCTCTGACTGCGGCGCCGCGGAGCTCAGCCCGTTGTTCGCTGAAAAAGATAACGAGTAAATTAGTCATGGATTCACGAGCTTCATATGTATACATATCTATGAAACATTCTGAAATCAATAGATAAATAATACAAAAGCCCGTATTAGTAAATTCAAATTATGTGAGTCACAAAATGAATTAAGTAGTATCTAATCATAAAACTGATGAAATCATTACAATTATTTCATCATAAACAAATGACGGAGAGTGAATTAGACAGAAAAAGATCCCTTGATCTAGTTTAGTGCAGCTCAGAATTATTGTAGAAAACGCTAAAGATTTAGCTACAATGGTCGTTGGGGTAAAAAAGGAATATTTTAGCAGGCACGGCTGGAATTAATGAAGCCAGCCAGCTGAGTATTTGCATGAACGGAGGCAGTGTAGTCGGCAGCTAAGTAAACACTGTTGATCAAACTGAAATATTTTACATACGGAATATTAACAAGGCTACTCAGCTTTGTAGTGACAAGTAGACATAAGTATTCCATAGTTCCGTTATTGCCTCATTACATGAATCATTGTTATATCTTATGAAAAATTATATACGTAGATAACTACATAACATAACATCACGCCTTTTATCCCCGAATGGGTAGGCAGAGGTGAACATTAGGATGCCACTGTACAATGTAACACCCACTTTTCACTATGTATGTTATGAGTCCCATGTAATAGGGGGTGAGCCTATTGCCATATACGGGGCACAATTCCAGACTTCGTGCTACTAGCCTACTACTGAGAATTTTTAAAAAACCCAGTAATACTTTACCCGACCCGGGAATCGAACCCGAGCCCCCTTGCCCGGCAGTCGCACTTGCGACCACTAGGCCAATGAGGCAGCCTAAACACCTTGACAAGTTGACAACATAGATAAATTGAGTTTAAAAAAGTCGTGTAATTAAATTTCAGTTAATTAGACTTTTGCCACCGGGTTTATTTGATTAATTTTGGATATTTTTATCACTTGGGGAAACCTAAGAACAAGCTGTGATATTAGCGTTTTTATGCATATGCATACTTTTCTGGAGTAATTTTCGAATAGGCTCTGTGAGAGTAGACAAATTGGGAATCCATTTTCCAACGAAATTTATTAGTCCTAGAAAACTATGCATAAAAACGCTAATATCACAGCTTTCTCTTTTTTACCATATGTCGTACGTAAGGTATTTTTTTTAATATATCGTCATTTAAATTGAATTTAAAGCAGTTCGCTACTTTTACATAAAACCCAGCAGGAAGTTTAGTATTTAATGCAAGAAAACTTGACCACCATTATACAAAAGTGAATTCAGTTAAAATACATATTTGCATTCACAGAATAGTTCACAGTCGGTTTAAAGCGTCGGCGATGCAATATGAATATTTCTGTTTAACTTACAAATATTTCCTGGAACATAATGTAGCTATGAAAAGCGCAGTAACTGCAATACCTTCTTTTATAGTGAAGTAGATACTTTGTTCCTCAAAACAAGCAATTTTGAAAATCATCTTTTTTCTTTTATTTTTATTTTTTTTAAAACTTTGCCCCACACTAGGATTATCTCCTGTGTCGTGGGTGCGTTTACAAACATACAAGTTCACATACACAATGACACCCAGACCCAACAATTTGTGGATCACACAAAGTGTTGTTCCGTGCGGGAATCGAACCCGAACACGTTGCACGGCAGCCGGTTGCCCAGCCACCGGCCCACCGCACCAACCGTGCAGTCAACCCGTTTAAAACGTTATGGTTTCTTTTTTCTTCGAGACGTCCTTCACTTTTTACTTGACGCAAAAGGGGGTCTTTATTAAGAGTACAGCATTATGCAGTGTACGTCTACTAACGATGATTGTACCTAAAATCTAGGCTTCAGCTGCTGAAAATCGTCGCAAAATATACATTGTGCTTGAATATAGATTCTATGTTCTATCGCCGAATATTTTATAACCCCACCGAGACTCGGCACGAAGTGAGTGTCGAATTCGATTAGATTGAACTGCCTCCCAAGCGGTCCCCGTCGGAAATGTAAAGTTGACGACTTTCCAACAAATATATATCAATATGGAGACGATTTCTTTTGTCGGAAAATGGCCGGAGTTTTGTGTTGCAATCTTATTTATTGTTCATTCTTTAAGCTCTGATCTGGAGTAACTTTTGTTTCGATTTTAGGTATCGAGAGGATAGATGCGTTTCTTAAATGATGTTTAGTAGGTATGGGAATCTAGACTCCTTTTCGAAAAACATTATTAATAGATACTCATATCATAAAAACATTATCAATTATCAATACACATAAAACAAATGGTTTTACTATTCCGCGGGCATAACTGTAGGCTTAGTTTATTTTTCTACTCTAGACCACGAGTCCTCAACATACCAGAATATGGCTTATTTAAAAGTACTGCGGGCACACGAGCAAAAGCTTCTTCAGCTCTTCGCACCCGACCACTGCCAGCAACACATCTGACATCATCACACCACCTAGCAGGAGCCTTCCGATTTAAGAAATCAATATTCATAAACGTCATTTTATACGTATAAACATGAAACGAAATTTCCTCTCGAATGCGGAAATTTAAACGTCAACCCCTGTTAATCCAGTGAGCATGTGTCTCTCGTCCCTAATTCTATAAATCTCCAAAACTTCAAATATACCAGGTACCTATAGCAAACCGTCTCATATTTACTTAATGAATGTTTTCAACAAACTTCTACTTAAGATACTTAATGTTAATTAATAATGTATGTATGTCCACTAGAGAAAAACGTTATCACAACGCTTATAATATGTAACATCACGCCTTTTATCCCCGAAGGATAGGCAGAGGTGTACATTATGCCACAGTACAAATGTAACACCCACTGTTCACTATTTATGTTATGAGTCCCATGTGATAGGGGGTGAGCCTATTGCCATACATCGGGCACAATTCCAGACTCCGTGCTACTACTGAGAATTAAAAAAAACAGTCATACTTTGCCCGACCCGCGAACAGAACCCGAGACGCCTTGCCCGGCCTTCGCACTTGCGACCACTCGGCCAACGAGGCAGTCAGACAGTAATGTTATGTTTTTTAACTCCGAAATGAGAATGCAATGCATATCTTCAAATTAACATCCACGTTTCCCCTGTTATGTCTCATTTGACAAGTGATGATTTCACTGGTATTCATGGAGCACATTATCAAAATCATTAAAAGGCTATGAAATAAACAGAAATTGACTAGATCTCTATTTATATAACTTGCCAGACCCGGGAATTAAACTTAAGTACATGGGTACTTGAGCATGGGCATGGCCTCGGGAGTCGAACTTGTGACAGAAAGTTCTTCTATACATTTATGAAATTGACATTCCAAAATTCAGGTTAATACACAGTCCTAAACTTTGTAAATAGGTTACAGGTATCGTTAGAAAGAGATACAAAATAGAAGTAATACGTTAGAATAGGACAAGAGACTCGTTTTAAGTGCGGCACTTGGCTTGAAATGTCAGGTATTTGTTACGGAGCTTATTAGTGACCTCTTTAAATAAATAGATGCCTAGTACCTTCGCGAATTCAGTAGGTTGCCCTAAAGGATCCTTTCTTAACTAGTTTTATGATAAAAAGTACTTTATCTTCACCTATACCAAGCATTACATTACGTAACCTGTGATGTATGCCATGTCTTGTCTTTCCAGGTAGCCAAATACTACTTAGCGCTTGTCTATATGTAGAATAGAAAACCAAATTATATGGGATTGACGTAAATTTTGATACTTGTCAGTGTCATCCCCATACATTTAGTTTTCTATTCTCTCTGTAGACATAGTTCTGCGATAAAGTGGCATTTGGCTAAAAGCACTGCTTTCGTTCAATTAATTTCCTTGAAGATGGTTTTGTTTATGTCATTGTTGTTGTTCAAAAGGAGGTTTATGAAAAACCTAACTTCATTGGTGTCGGTTTTCCATGAAATGTTATTAAGAAATATACGTTTATAACTACACTGTCGCTCCAGGCCCTTTTAGAAAGTTTTGACGTTTACTTATGTAAAATTATCCTTACGGATCGGTAAGGGACTTCAATTTCCTTGAAGATGGTTTCGTTTATGTTATCGTTGCTGTTGTTGTTCAAAAGGAGGTTTATGAAAAACATAACTTCATTGGTGTCGGTTTTCCGTAAAATGCTATTAAGAAATATAGGTTCATAACAACACTGCCGCTCCAGGCTCTTTCTCGAAAATTTCGACGTTTATTAACGTAAAATTATTCTTACGAATCGGTAAGGGACTGCTGATGCGCTCTGGTGGATGAATCGGTCAAGGTGCTTGCTTCTCATTGAGAACAGTCCATCAGATTCCTCAATTTTATCATTAGCATGAAAAGCAAATTAAAGCTACTTGTGTATTCATCATAATCCGTTGCTATTTCCATCAACTGTTGGGCATAGTCCTCTAAAAACACGCCACTGAGCTCAATCACTATATTTTCTCTACTGTTCGTACATTTTAAACCACTATCGTCAAATGGGAGTGAGGCCTCGTGCCTTTTTTTAAGCCGCACGGGTCACAACGTTGTTCCATCGAAAATGCGCAAAAAACTTCACTTCGACACCGTTCAATTTGTACAGCTTGTTTTTCTCTCGTAAAGAGTAATGAGAGTTAGTTTATTTGTTGATAAAATAGGGTCTTCGAATTCTCTGAACATTATTTGTATGTCGAAGGGTCCCTTCTGATAACTTGGTCCCGACAACATTAAGCGACTTCGGAAGATTGAAAGTTCTGCAAATTGTATTATAGTTATTAGGTAGGGTTGGTCTGTGTTCTGATTCGAAGAAACGGCTGTTCTAAATCTGTTATTAAACACAACTTTTGCTTGAATTATATAGAAATAAGGTTTTGGTTCTCTAATTGAATTAGGCTCATGGAGTAATTTGTGGCTAAGGGCCACGTAATTTCGATTTTCAGTAATAGTAACGTAGATTTTAATCATCATAGATTTTCGAATGTAAATCTTGGAACATCTTCGCTTTGGTGAAGC